GTGTGACTTGCCCAAGACCACCCAGTGGGTTTTTACAGGGCCTTCCCTCATCCCTCTGTGAGCCATAAGCAAGCTGGGCGATGGAGAGGCAGGACGGGCAGGGCAGAGGAGGGCAGACCAGCCCAGGGCAGCGAGGGAGGAAGGGAGGCCCTCCCAGAAACACCATGCCTTGGCCCGCTTCCTCCTCCTCTTCCCCAGGCCAAGCCACTGCTGCCACTGCTGCCTCCTCCTCCCTGATCTTGCTGAGGCTCTTGCCCAGTGCTATGAGTGCGTTGAGGGGGGAGGAGGAGGGAGACAAAATGGCAGTCAGGCTGAGGGGGTTCCTCTCGCCTAGCCCTCTTCTCTTCCCAACGTACAAGATGACCCCAGACTTTTTAGAAGATTTTCCAGGGTTAAAAAGTCGTCTTATACACTAGAAAATACGATATTTGTCATGAAGTCAACTTTGACACCCTATGAATGAGACATCCAAGAGCTCTGATCATCAACTGCTCTGCTGAGATTTTGTACACTCAGAGCTGTGACTTCCTTGATTGAATCAGTTTCTTTGTAGTGCAGTTCCCATTGTTTCCTATTACCTTCCACCTTATCCAGCATGAAAATCTTTTCTGTGTGGTCTCATGGTATGTCCCAAACATGATAGGTTAGTCATCATCTCTTCTAGTGAGAAGTCAGGTCTGATTTGCTCTAAGATTCATTCATTTGTCCTTTTAGCAGTCCATGCTATCCATGGAACTATATTGCCACATTTAAAATAAGTTGATTTTCTTTCTGTCAGCTTTCATCAACTGTACAATTTTCACATGCATACATAGAAACTGAAAATCAGAAATATTATGGCCTGGAATTATACCCTAATTAACTCCTATTAATTATTGTACATTTTGATGTTTGTTCTTTATTCAGAGTTTTTAAGAAAAAATGTAACAAGTTGATTCCTTATAATTATTTTATATATTGTGTAATTTTATTCTGTATAGACATAAGCCTCAAAGGTTTACTACACAGAAATAATACTTAATGAAGCTCAAATTAGCATGACATGTCATTTATATTTACAATATCTAACAGTCATACCTGAAAGAAATGAGTAAAGTTTATAATAAAACTTTATCTTCTGATACAAAGGTATAGTAACCTCCCTCCATATGAAAAACATAGACACAAAAAACCCTTTAAAACATACTGTTTGTTGTTGTTGTATGCCTTCAAGTCATTTTCTGACTTATGGCAACCCTAAGGTGGTCCTATCATAGGGCTTCCTGAGGTTGAGAGTGTGTGATTTGCCCAAGGTCACCCACAGCAGGTTTTCATGGCCGAGTGGGGATTTGAACCCTGATCTGCAGAATCAAACTCCAGTGCTCAAACCACTGTGCCACACTGGCTCCTATATATTATTTACCCTGTTTGGATTAATAATAATAATAATAATA